AAAGCAAACCAAACACTCCACTTCACATAGCATATCAAAAGAGGACAGTGGGTGGCACCTGTGGCTCAAAGGAGTAGGGTGCCAGCCCCATATGCCAGAGGTGGTGGGTTCAAACCCAGCCCTGGCCAAAAAAAAAAAAAAAAAAAAAAAACTGCAAAAGAGGATAAGTAAGGCATAAAATTACTCTGAGTTGCTCAAAGAAAAACTGCAAGACAGTATGAGAACCACTGAACAAACTAAAAAAATAAAAATCCCCAAATACACAATATCACCTATGAAATTAAGTCTTCTCACTCTTCTCTACCCCCCAAATCAGATCTCACTCTAAGCCTCTACATCCAACTACAATTCATAAGGAATAGAAAAAATCTAGAATGTGGGAAATTGCAGGACAAATGACCTGGTTTCTTTATTTCTTTTTTTTTGAGACAGAGTCTCATTATGTCCCCATCAGTAGAGTACTATAGCATCACAGCTCACAGCAACCTCAAACTCTTGGGCTCAAGCAATTATCTTGCCTCAGCCTTCCAGGAGCTGGGAGTACAGGAGCCTACCCCAACACCTGGCTATTTTTCTGTTGTTATTGTTTTCTTCATTGTTGTTTAGCAGGCCCTGGCCTGGTTTGAACCCACCAGCCTCGGTGTATGTGGCCGGCACTGTAACCACTAGGCTACGAGTGCTGAGTCAACCTGGTTTCTTTCACAAAGTGTGAGGAAAAAACATCTGAGGGGCTCGGCGCTTATAGCTCTGCGGCTAGGGTGCCAGCCACATACACCAGAGCTGGCAGCTTCGACTCTAGCCCAAGCCTGCCAAAATGACAACTACAACTAAAAAATAGCCAGGCATTGTGACAGTTACCTGTAGTCCCTGCTACTTGGGAGGCTGAGAGAAGAGAATCGCTTAAGCCCAAGAGTTGGAGGTTGCTGTGATGCCATGGCACTCTACCCAGGGCAACAGCTTAAGACTGTCTCAAAAAAAACCCCCAAAACCCAAAAACCTAAGGAACACACACACTGAAAGAATGTCAGTCAACTGTAGCATATGGAAACTATCCTGATTCAAATAAATTACAAAAGTCAACAGAAAAGTAGTATCCAAGAAGGAAAAATACCACTCCATGCGCAACAAATCTGTTCAGATTTCATTGAATTCTGTTGGCTTGCTATATAAGAGGTTGATCATTAAACACAATTTCATTTAACAATCATGAAGCCCTTACTATGGTCACACACTATGTCACTTAAATTAACTTTTGGGAACCTCTGTATACTCACCTGTAGAGGAGTTAATACTTATTTTAAATAAGTGTAGTAAGGAATCATGAGATTACATGTTGAACTCTATTACAGCATCTAGCTTACGAAGCCCATAATAAATAGTTCTGATTCCTCTTTCTGCTCTAACTCCCAAACCAACTTTTCTACATACTAATAAACTTTAAGGGCAGCAAAAATTCAGGTAAGAATTTTTTTATATACTAAAAATTTAAATTTATAATAAACAGAAATAGGGTTTGCAAGCTAAATTTAAATATAGCCAAACTTGAATGAGATTATTCTGGAAACAAATATTCTTATTCCACACAGACCTACTTGCTCAGGAAAGAGTACTGAATCATGTGCATGCTGGTGATTCTCTAGCCTTAAGTCTGGTTAACTTGTAGAAAAGGAAGGTGAATTTAAAATGTATATTAAAATCAACTCCTTTTATTTATTTTTAAATCAATTCCTTCTAAAAAGATAGCTTCCCAGACCCTACTACACTGAAGTGGCACTGGAATCTGGATTTCAGTGTTTCTTTAAAGAAGTGAACGATTGAGCTGTTTGGTCTGAAAAATGAAAAGTAATTGGCTGAACAGATCAATGAGACGCTGATTATTTGCTTTAGTGAAGGAAAATAATAGGCTTCTTAAATATTTACCTAGTATACTTAAAATCATTTATTAAAAATTCAATTGGCTTGGCATCT